AATAAAAAAAAAATAATTTCGGTTGATACAATAGCCACGATTATTTTTTTCAAAGACGAGAAATTTTCGTTAGGCATTGACAAAAATTCAACCCGGGCCGACACGCAACGGAGAGAAGTTTCGAAATTGGATTGGTTAATTTCATCGAAAATGCATGGTGGACGACCTCGTGGTGTGGCTGTCGAAGTTTAAACGATCGCGCCCAAAAGCAGCGATACCAAAGAAGATTGGAGAACGAGAAAGAGATCCGCTTTGAGCGTCAAAGTGATTTCGCTTAGTAGTGTCTCCGAGACATAGTCGTGTCCCAAATACGGTTTTGCCGTTTTACTTGTTTAATTTAACCTTTTTGGTTAATATTTAAATAATATAATATTTTACCAGTATTATACAGTTGTCCAACAGAAGAGTATCTATCTTATTTACAAATCTTTTCAAATTAGACAGTTTGACCGGGCCCTAGACATTTGTCTCATTTGTCTATGCGATGATCCGGCCCTGCCACTATCACAGCGAGATCGTCAACATACGCTATAAATTTCATATTCATTTCTCTGAAACATTGGAGTACAGAATTAAAAGTATAATTCCATAACTGTGGGCCCAAAACGGAACCTTGCGGACAGCCCCTTTCCACCCATTTATCAAGTTTCTTAGTTCCTTCTATATAATAAATCCTTCTATTTTGAAAATAATCCTGTATTACTTTATAAATATCAATAGGACAATTGAGAAAGAAAGAAGATACAAACGCGGGTGGAAGACCGCCGTCTACCACCTATAAATAAAAAAAAACTCTAAGTTAAGCCTAGGACCGTGATGGCGAACCTCTGACACGCGTGTCAGAGGTGACACGGAAGCTCATTTTGGATGACACGCATCGACAGAGACGAAAAATTGAATAATTCAAATATTTGTCATATTATTTTCTCTTTTAATTTTCTCCACGTTACCGCCATATGTCCGCGCCAGATATACAGTGCAACGTACTCGTTGAGACATTTTGCATATGACATAAAATACATATTTGTTGGTTCTACAAACATCTTTAAATTATTTTGTATCAGGAGTCAGTGCAACAACACCGCAGGAAGTTAATAGGTAAGAAACCTATCAACCTTTAATAAAAAAGTCGTAATTTATATTTATTTATTTTTACAGCCTTGTAATGGAGAATCAAAAAATAAAAAGGCAAGATTGAATGATAAAGGAAGTGGGAGTAGCAGTAGCCGGCCTTTTGAAGACACATGGACGGAGCTGTACGGAATTATCGACAGAAACAATAGATCATTGTGCATACTGTGTAATGAAACGGCAGTAAGCAGAACGTGGAATGTACAGAGACATTTTGAAACAAATCATAGTCAGCTCTTGAAAAGAAATATCGATGAAAGGAAGGAATACATTTCTAGGCAGCTACATCTCTATAGAAGTCAATCAAATTCCATCATTAAATTTGTAAATGCTGTACAAATTTAACATCAGCAAGTTACTGTATTGCTCACTCCATAGCTCAGCATGGAAAGCTCTCAGTGATGGAGAATTTATTAAAGAAACATTTTTAAGATGTGCACCAGCTCTATTTCACGATATGAAAAATAAAGATGATATTATTAAAAGAATTTCTGAGTTACCACTAACTAGAAATACTATCAAAGACCGAATAATGGATCTTAACAAAAACGTACAACATCAATTAAAAAAAGACAAATAGTTGTAAATATTTTTCGATTTCCCTTGATGAAACTACTGATATCACATCAAATGCGCGGTTGGCCATTATTGCTAGATATTCTGATGGTCTCACAATGAGAGAAGAGTTGATAAAATTAGAATCAGTGCCAATAAGTACATCAGGAAATGAAATATGTAAGGTTGTAAAAACATTTAATGACTTAAATATTGATATCTCTAAAATTGTGTCAGTTACGACAGATGGGGCAGCAAATATGGTGGGAAAAAATGTAGGATTCGTAAAATTGTTTATGGAAGCTGTTAGACATCCACTTATACCTTTCCATTGCATTATCCATCAGGAGATGTGTGCCAAATCGGGATTTTCAGAATTGAATGATTTAATGTCAGTTATAATAAAAATTGTGAATTTTATAGCTGCTAGACCCCTTCACAAACGAGAATTTTCTGCACTTTTACAGGAAGTTGATTCATCCTACAGTGGACTACTGATGTTCAATAATGTGAGATGGCGAGTCGAGGTACAGTATTTGAGCGATTTCTGGAGTGCTTTGAAGAAATTAAAGTATTTAAGAATAAGGATCTGGCAAACTTTCCTCAGATCAATGATCATAAATGGGTCAACAATTTAATGTTTTTTACAGATCTCTTCGTTCATATGAATGAACTGTACTTAAAATTTCAAGGTTTTGGCAAAAGTATTGATGTTATGTTTGAATATATCAAATCTTTTGAAAGTAAACTTAAAATTTTTAAGCGAGATATTACGAACCAATAAAACGAGTGCAATGGAGTCCATACTTATGTACCAGAATATAGTAAACTCGTTAATTGAAGAGTTCAACGAAAGATTCAACCAATTTAGGACCCTAGAACAGACCATTAATATAATTAAGTATCCAGTTGTAGTTGTTTACAGTTCTTTGGAATTAAAAGATTTCCAATGGATGCAAACTGATAATTTAGAGATTCAACTTACAGATTTTCAAAATAGCATTTGGACTTGTGTGTTTCTCGACTTAAGATCGAAACTTGAAAATCTAGAACGAAATCGTTTGAATAATGAAGAAGAGTGCAACTACGAACAAGAAATTTTGAGTGCATGGAACAGAATACCTGACACTTTTAGCGATATAAAAAATCTAGCAATGGCTTTGCTAACCATTTTTCCATCAACATATTTTTGTGAGACTTTGTTCTAAGCATTAAATAATATTAAAACGAACAAAACAAACCGGCTAACAGATGAAGTTAGTAGCGCTTGCTTAGCCTTTGAAGCTTTGACGTTTGAAGTGCACTAAGTATAAACCTGCAATCGAAGAATTAGCAGACAAACTCCAGTACCAAAAAAGTCACTAATTTCTATTTTTTCTACAATTTCTAGTTTTTGTACTATTTATTTACCATTATTATTTTTTTCCTAAGTGTATATTGTTTTTTTGTTTTTGTTTATTTTATACATAATATTTAGTTGATTTTTCTTTGTTAAATTGTATTTAAATATATAAAATAAATATCAAAAACATAAATCTTTTTTTTACTATAGTTGCAAATATCAAAAAATTATATTTTTAGGTGACACGGCACCATATAACTATGGTGCCCTGTTATCGTTGGTGCTATTATGGTGCTGTGGTATCGTTTAAAATGAATTTGCCGAAACGATCGTTTTATAGTTTTCAACACATTACGCTTTGTAATCTCCACCCGCGAAACTGGATTCGTTTGTTCCGTGTCGCGGAAAGTTTGTAACAGCGCGCTTTCTTGCGCAGGAATGCGAACATTTTCGTCTGTTAAACCTACGACAGGAATATTCTTCTGCTTTTCTTCCCAAAGTCAGAAGAACAATGCATGGCTTAGTACCTCTCTCAACTCCAAGCAAACTCGTGATGTTAACAACTAGTGTTCAGTAGTTTTATGCACTCACTTACTGGTGGGTACATGTTCTTCGGAAACACGTCTATCTATATCTTCACCGTCGCGAAAACTAACACTATACAATCGGTACGTCAACAACAGGCTGTCGGCATGGGGGGTGTTTTTACGTGATGCGTATTTAATCAAACCAATCACTCAAATCCTTCACGAAATCAAAAATGGTTCCGTTTGGTTAAAGATATTAGCGGAAGATTTTGCTGCATATTAAGAAGATAATTTTTTATTTATTAAGAACCCTTTGTAAAAAAAATTTTCAGGCATACAAAACATATCCATTCCTTCAAGAAAATTTAATTTTGTTGAACTCATTCGATTAAATTTATGACAATACAAATGGTATTTTCCAGTGGAGTAAGAGAATGCAAAATTTTATAAAATGTTGATTATGACGTAAAATTATACACAGTATTTGCTGATTATGTATCTTGTTTTCTTTCATAATATTAATTTTAAAATCTTTATGTTGGATAAATTATCTCAGAAAAAGGAAGAAAAGTAAACTGTTGTTTAAATCTTTAACATTTTTTTAAGTAACAATATAATTCTTTGTGTTTATTGCAAATAATCGTTAACAAAAGTTAGCAAAAATAGAAGAAGAGAACGAGTTCGAAAATGGGTTTCTTGAAAATCATCTGGAAAATAATTTGGCTTTTTGGATTCTTCAACAACGTTTGTTTGTGTTATCCACTACTGATATACGCAGTTAAAGCGTACTTTTGGTTATCACCTCTTCGATACTTGGACACTTCGGTCTTCTTACTGGATTACCTTTACGTGGCCATCCATCTTCCTTGCACAATTTTACAGCTCTTCGATCTCGGAGTTGGCCCTCGTTTTTATAACGAAACGACGTATTTTCATTATTTCCGTCCCGTAACTCAAGGCACTTAAAACTAGACAAAATTTTAATTTCGGCAATGTATATTCGTTTTATGGTCGTCAGTAATATCGTTTTATTTATATATAAAAATTGTGTTCTTTATTTTCTACGTATTAAATAGTATATACAAATACGGAATATTTTTTAAATTAACAATTAATACAAATAAATCCCCCACTCCATTGAAGGTCTAGCCGAATCCATAATGGGATTGCTGAAATGGCCTTCTTAGTGCCCAAAGGACGGAGAATTAAAAAAAAATACAGTGGTGTCGATGTCAAACAAACCCTGGAAATGCTTACTTTCAATACCAGATGCCACTTGAGACAAATGACTTATGAGTAGGCTATTAAGTAAATCTTCTACAATAACCACTGGGTTTCACAGAATCACAATGGGATGATGAGATTGTGGAAGATAGCCTGAGATACATAGATCAACTCGTGCTTAAAATTTCTAAACCGACCCAGACTCAAAACCTGAAATATAAGGACCTCATCTCAACTCAACTATCCATGGTGAATTATAAGATTCCAAAATAAATTCAAGCTTGGACCTCTTACGGTGGCATAATGATATCAATTGCGCAACTATTCTGCAGATCTAAAACTAAAGTAAATTTTCGTTGCATTCAAAATTTAAATGTTTTCTCTAAAATTCAGGAAGAAAAATTCAATTTTTGAATCATTAAAGTTTTATTTAAAAATTAAAAATAAATAAAACTAGATTATCATAAAGTAATTTAAAACAAATAAACTTTCAATTATATTTTGCTAATTATATAAAACTTCATAATAAATTTCTAGATAAATAATGCACAAAAATTACTTACTTCAACTATTAGATGGTCCCAAAGTTTTCTAAAATCTACTTAAAATTCCTATTTTTTTCACTTTATCCAAATGAATATTTAATTTATTAATAATTATAAAATAAATTTGTGAAATACAAGTACAAAATTTCATAAATTATGCAAATTTTGTTATAGTTATACAGAAGTCATATATTTTACAACATAAATAAAACAGTAAATCTGTACATTTGAGTACAAATTTTATAATAATAAGAATAATAAACTTCAAAACTTGAATCTATTAGTACAAAAATTTTTATCAAATTTTGGAATTTCCTAGTAGAAAAAGAGAAATTTATAATACAGTTTAAATTTCAAGGACCATAACACTTAAATGTAACTACAAAGTACGAGTCTACAGAATTAAAATGTTCATGCAAAATATAACAAATCATATTTATGCAAAAGAAGTTAGAGATCAAATGTTTTAATTAACAATTAAACGTACTTTTTCGGAAAGCTTTCGGGCATTACTTTTGATTAAGATATATACAATACGTACATCAATTGCATTTTTCTTTTTGCAATTTAACATTTTCCAAGGCAAACAGTCATAATTCTTTTAAACTATTTAATTATTTATATTTATAATAATTTCCTATTTACAAACAAAGCATGTATTTGAGATAATGACTCGTGCATAGACAAAATGAAAATGCTAAAAAGCTGTTAATTGTTTATGAATATTAAAATCTCTTCATACTTATGTAATGCTTTTCATGTATGTGACATATTTTAAAAATAGTCATACGATTATCCAAATCTTATAATCAGAATATTTTTAATCGCATAAACATAGCTCTTGTGCTCTACAGTGTGGCCTAAAAACCAGTTAACTGAGCTATATATTAAGATCATGTTAGGAAGAGTTTAAACTGGTTTAGAGCAGCTTCATATAGTCATTTGTGATTCATGTAAATTATGATCATTATCACATAACTGTTCCTAAAACAATTAAAGTAAATATAACTTCATTAACTGACTTTTGGGCCTCCTTGTACATAAAATGCAAAATTCTATAGCTTTATAAACTAATGCATTCCTAGTGTTTTGATGTATCTAGTCACTTAAAGCAAATTTTTGAGAAATTCATTAAAAATGTATATATTTAAATCAATTTTTAAATTTTAGTTTTGATTAATTTTGACAAAACAAATATTTTAAGTTGTAAATAAATGTTTTATAATCTCATACTGCAAACTTTTTCGCTGCTCAAATGCCTAATTTTTATGACTGATACACTGTATATAGCCATAATGGTAAATTTAATTACAATTATATTAAATAAATTTTCAATAAAATGTGCATTTTGTGGATTTTTTTCAATGATTTCTCAAATAACATTGAAAATTACTTACATTTTCATTTTATCCATGGTAACATTTTTGCAATGAGAGATAAAACAATTAGATATGTAATTTTATGTATCATTTAACAAATATGACAATACTACACAAATTCAACTATACGGAACAATTTGAGATAATATTAATTTACATTCAAATATTTGCAATGAACCTTTTCTTTCTCTTATATTTAAAACTCTTAATCACAGATCGTTTAACAATTTTTTCAGTACATATACACTTCACTTCTGGGGAAAAACAAGTTGATATGATTTCATTAAATTTCATGAATATCATATATTAATATATTAATTATGAATTAATAGCAATATAATAAATCAATAAATCATTATAAACATATCATATAGAACAATTTTTTTAAAACTTGTTTTTGAAATATTAATTTGAAATTCTTATTTCACAGATAATGTTATCACTAAATGTATGCATTATTTTATAATATAAAATTATTGGCATTTGCTTTTGATTTCTCATGTAGCAAAAGTATGGAATATCTTTCTTTTGAATACATATAAATAGAACGTTTATTTATTTATTTTTTAACAAGATAATTTATATTCTTTTACTGAATGACACATCCACTATTATTTTTTGGATCTTTGTTTGACTGATGTACATTAGCTTCTTTAACTGGGGGTAAATCTCCCTCAGCTTTAGTTGCAGCCTTCTGAAAGTAAAGTATTAAAAATTCAGTTGATTTGGATGAAAACTTAAAATTGTTATATTAATATAATCATAAGGAATTTTATTAGTTTGTTTTAGAAAATAAATTCATATTATTCCTGATCAATAAAAAAAATCAGCAGAAATATTCAAGAATGTCAAAACTCTAACACCCAAAAATATTAAAATCTGAATAAGTTTTTAGTACTGGTTTATCTTACAACATTATGTAATTTTTTAAAAAATTGTTAGATAATAAATGTCATTGTTACAGGTTTTCTAACAACTTAAAAACCTTTTCATTTATTAAATTTGACAAATTCTAAACTTAAAACAGCAATTCTTTTGACTTATTTTCACATTATTGACATGAAATATTTTTCACATCTTTGTGAGCTTCTCTCTTAAGTTGCTTTTCTGCATTAATAATTGTTGTGCACATTCATTTCTTTTCCAAATATTCTATCTCGATTTACAACACTTTTTCTCAATGCATTGCTCATACACAACCATGCTAGCTCAATTGTAACTTGCATCTCAGGCAAAACTGAGTTTTGTCATCTGCTGCCATACTTTCAACATCACACTATTATTTCACTTCTTGAATTTCTCTTGATGTTTATTTGATTAGTGATGCTGCGTTATTTGACTATACTTGCTTACATTAATCAGTCTGTCACAATAATGCACCATATGTGGTTTTTGACATTTGGATCATCAAGTATATATTCAATTTAAGCTCAGCACAATAACTGCTTAACAATTTTTGTGAAATCAGTCATTTTTTCAGTTTCCATTACTCTCACTCTTAAACAGTGCATATCGAGCACCATCTATCAGTTTTATTCAAAAATATTTGCATTTATGTAGAATATGTTGAGAGATCCAAAATATACAAAACTGTTTGCAACAAGGTACCTCAATTCATTGATTTAGCACCTTTAAGACATTCTCAGCACAAAATACAAAATATAATTTTGTATTTTGTGCACAAGTTATAATTTCCAATCCCTGCTGATGAGTGTTTTAAACAAACACAATATCAACTATTCTGTTAAACATAATTTAGTTAAATGCAACTTATACTATAAAAGAAATTATGGTTATGACAAGAGATATTTAAAAAACTGAAAGTTTTAAATGGTACATATGATTCATTGAATAACAATTGTAAATATTTATCCTGATCAAAGTAAAAAAATGAAATCATAAATAAAGACAGGCATTTTTGGTCCATCCTAGACCTTCTTCAGGCAGAGTTCTAGAAAAAATCTTTCTAATGTTCCATTCAGATCTGATGTATTCTAATTTCAAATGTTTCTATTTTTGAATTTAGAAACGTTCAAAATTAGAATACATCGAAGCTGAATGGAACACCAGAAAAATTTCTTTCTAGAACTCTGCCTGAAGAAGGTATAGGATGGACCAAAAACGTTTGTTATGTTCCAAAATAACTGCAAAGAATAATAAGGTTGGTGTGTTGTATTTATAATTAACACTTTGTTTAGAGGATTGTTTTTATGAAGACAGACGATTACAATTTGTCATCTTATTTGTATGGGTGCTGTATTAATATTGCTATCTTCTAATCACTTTAATCCTATTATTAGATTGATTTTTCTCACAGCAAACAGTCCTGGTTAGATGACAAATGATTTTATTGTGGAATACTTTAAACAATTTTACAACAAATGCATTTCAGGCTTATGAAGTGTTTTTGTATTCCCTCAGTGATATGAGGGAATACAAAAAATTTAGACCTCCAGTGCACAACTTCAAAAACATGGAATATAAATAAAGTGGAAAATTATCACATCATATGTATTATACAGTACTTATAAAAATATAGTACCTTTAAATAAGATACTATATTTTTTAAATTATATATTAGTAAAATATTTTATTCATATTATAGAATGAGCATAAGTATTAATTTGTTTTCTGCCTCCATACAGGAGCAGAAAACAAAGTCTCAAATATCACTGAAGAGGGCTAAAACACTACATCAGCCTGAAATGCATTTGTTGTAAAATTATTTAAAGTATGCCAGAATAAAATCATTTGTCAACTAACCAGGACTATTTGCTTTGAGAAAAATCAACCTAAAAATAGGATTAAAGTGATTAGAAGATAGCAATACAATTTATCAGTTAACAACCATAATGAATGTTTATGGTAGTAATTTTAAATTTATATGCACGCTGAATCAACATCAAAACAGTAATAAAGCTTTATTGATGTGAAAAAAGGAGGATTTGACCAATTAATTTGACAACTAGAGATCAAGAATTCATAAGATGCATAGTGATGTATAACAACAATTTGTTTTTTCTTTATTTTTTATTCTTATTCAGAAATAAAAAAAATGGCAAGTAAACTGATTTATCTGATCCCAAAAAACTGAAAATTAATTACAGTGGAACCTTGCTTAATGAGCACCTCGCATAACAAGCAAAACAAATTGTAAAAAAATGACTCTCTTAATGAGCAACATTTCACATAACGAGTGACAGGAGAGGGGAAGTCCTGGATTGTATGCTCCATCAGTCATTGTTTAGCACTCGTTCTGCTAGCATCTTAGTGTCGTTGACTGTTACCACTCAGCAGTCCCGAGGAGTGTCTCTTGTGATCACACATTTTTCCAAACTTGTGTTCACACACATTGCGTATAAACATCAACAACCATAGCCCATTATATAATAAACACGGTAAACGATATGCCAAATTCTTGGGATATGTAAAGGCTATAATTAAATATTAGAAATTAATTAATTTGACTAGAGGTAGGCAGTTACGCTGCTGTAAGGGGGCCGAAGTGGGAAATTTCAAAACAAAAAAATAATGATTATACATGATATCATTATTGTCTCCATTGCCTCAGGACTGCTGAGTGGTAACAGTCAACGACATGTAGGAGCGATTGAGTCAGCGATCGATGCCTTGTTTACAAACAACACAACCCATTTATTAGACAATTTAACTTACAAAAAGTTCTACAGTCGCAAAGAGTTGAAGTCCTTGTATACTTTGGCACGTAGTCTTCCAAGAAAAAGAAGAAGAAGAAGAAGAAGAAGAAGAAAGTCCACCAACAAGGACAGTTTCCTATTGCTGATCAGATGTTGTATTCAAAGTTCCAGTTCTCAAACAGGAAACAATGTCCAGTGAATGCAGATTGGAATGTCTGAAGTTTCTCATGAAGGTCTATAACTTTCGGAGAATATATCAGCAAAGGACAAAAATGGAAGCCTTGCAGGAAGCACCCCAGCGAGGGACATAGCCTCGTGGGATGCCATGACAAAGAACCAAGTATCCTTGGGGCCTGGGCTTAAATATCTTTTTGTCTTGCAAATCATCACTTTATTGGTTATTAATCCCCTTTCTCAGTCCCAGATTGGTCTTTCTCTGTTACCAGGTGAAATTGGACCAGATCAGTTCTCAAGAAAGACAACTGTTTATGAATACAATTTCACACTGTCTTTCATTCAGTGTTGAACAAACTTTGTACCTATACATCAACCAAAGCCGAATATTATTGGGCTAGAAATGGCTATAATACTAATAATTTAATAGACAATTTGGCATTAGAGTTAGGCATTAGGTGCCCCTCTAATGCCATCGCAAACTCTGCCATCTTGCCACGGTTTGCGATGGCCGGTCGAGTGCCTTGGAAGTTGCTTGCACGTCATGGGTACTGAATGCGTCCCCAGCCGGCATTGTAATAACTGTCAATGGTTATATCATTAGTTTATATGCTGGAAGAGGATATCGGACCAAAGGTCTGGGTATCATAATTGGCAGCGCATCTGCACGGTAAGCAGGAGTTGCAGGTTTGAGTCCCATTTCAGGCCGATTCTTTTCTTCCAGTAATTCTAAAATTATTATTTAAATTATTTAATTAATTTATAATTATTAAATTTATCAAGAGATGGCACCTAACATCTAACTCTAATGCTAAATTGTCTATTAAATTATTAGTATTATAGCCATTTCTAGCCCGATAATATTCGGCTTTGGTCGATGTATAGCTTTAAACATATTGGGTGTAGTAAGGATGCTTGAACCTTGTACCTTAACTAACATTTCCTTTTTTGTTCATCTTGTTAAACCTACCTCTAGTCAAATTAATTAATTTCTAATATTTAATTATAGCCTTTAGATAGCTCAGAATTTGGCATATCATTGGCATGTTCATCAGACATATTATCTGTGATTTTTTTTATTTTCTGCAAATTGAATTCGCATTCCAGGTTGGTTCATTCCGTGCTAGAACAAAAGATAAAGAAGATTCATGCTCCTTAACAATGTATATTGTATAATTTTCTTTGAATAAACTATTTGAGTATTTTTTCGGCATGGAATGCCTTATCGTATTTTACATTAATTTATATGGGAAAAATTATTTTGCTTAACAAGTGTTTCGCATTATGAGTAAGATTCTAGAATGAATTATGCTCATAAGCAAGGTTCCATTGTATTCTGCTGACAAACAAATTGTTCTTATATTCTTTAGTAGAAGTATTATTGTCTTTTATTTCTTGTCACACAGAACAATTATAAATAAGAAAACATTATTCAAATTATACTAATCAGGAAAAGGTATAACTTAATATAGGACATTATAATTATAGTAGTTATACAGTATTAATTTTAAAAGTAATTGATATTTAACTTACAGAATTTGCAGGATCAAAAGGATTGGTACGAGGCATATCAAATGCTGCATAAATTGTAGGATTCCACATTGGATTAATAGATGGCAAAGCAAATTCTTCAGGACTAGCTAGACCATAAGTAGCTTTAAGTTCTAACTCAGGAGGATCTTTTGGTACTTTCTGATGAAATCTATAAAAATAAAAATTACAAGATTTAAATAAACTTGTAATTTAATCAAAACTATGGCACATTTAATAATTTAAATAGAAACAATTTATTTTTTTAATACAGTACTGTTTTTACTCTTCTCACCTACAAACATCAGGACACTTTTTTGTATGCACATCACAGGTTTGTCACCCCATAATGGATCAGTTTGGTGGAGAAGGATGAAACTCAACATATCAGGATCAGAATAACCACAGAAAAGTTCCTGATTCCAGTTTGAGGATCCAAACTGGAATCAAAGCTAGATCCCACAAAATAACTTTCACGCTCTTTAATTGTTATCATTTTTTCAAGTATAAGAGATCTGTCCTGCCAGAAAGTTCTTGTATGTTTTAAATTATGCACCAACTGATAATTGAATCCGAATGCAATTTGCACAGCTCCCTAGTGGTAAGTCTTTTGTACTATGTGCTGAGAGCAGTTTGTTCTATCTTCATTTGTTGTCATGTTATGTTCATTTGTGTAAATACATGTTAATTGCATTTTGCAATTTTCTTTCAGTAAATGCAAGAGAGTGAAGTGCTTCTGGGATGGGCTAGGTCTGATGCAAGATATGGGTCTATGGGTACAACATGGAAACAAAGTATTCAGTCATCACAACGGGTAGGAAAATCTTCACTGCAACAAGTTTGATTGAATGTCTTGCTCACTGTTTTGTTTGATTCTGAAAGTGTCATTCACCATGAATTTCTTTCAGAAAGGAAGACAGTAAATAAGGGATACCATCAGGAGATGATGAAAAGCCTTCATGAAGCAGTGAAGAAGAAGACTGCCTACTTAACAGAATAGCATCATGACAACATGTCCACCTATATATGCTAACAACAGAGAATTTTTGGCCAAGAACTCAATGCCACTTGTTTCCCAATTTTCATTCACTGGACTTAGCTCCAACATACTTCTTTTTATGTATATAAACAAAATATTAAAATAAGAGTGAAAGAGTTAATGCTTCAAAATATTACAATATTTTGAAGCATTAACTCTTCATTTTGGAGAAATGCTTTACCTTCTGTCCTTTTCATACCTTCAGAAACAGTCTCTACAGGCGGTGATGCAAATTATAATTACACCAAAAATGTTCCATAATGCATAACTTTTTGTATATATATATATATATATATATATATATTTATAAATAATTATATATACATACAGGTTCTTCCCTACTTATGAACAGATTGGGTTCCTGAGGTTTCATAAGTCAAAAACGAATTTAGAAAGTACATTTGTATATAGAATAATCACTTATTGTTAGTATTTGATCCTTCAATGCACTTAACAGAATACATTATGCTTTTTATCTGCTCACTACCACTTAGTATCAAGTGTTTCAAATGCATTTTTTCCATCATCTAATGCCCTTAGTTTTATAAAGTCTAGTTCATGTTCCATGATAATAGAGCAACACTTCTTCAATTTATCACCATTGCTAGATTTATTATTAAATTTAGGATGTATTTTTGAAGCACTAATAATAAAAGTTTATAAAAATTGCAAATAATAGTGAAAAATGCAAATACTCTAATATTAACAATTTCAACACCACCTCAGAAATCACACAAAAATGAAAAATGATGATACACAATAGAAATAAACCCACCTTAATTACTTATTAAAAATTTATTTATTACTGGCCAAATACTGACTTCAATGCCACCCAATGAGCAATAAGAGAACTTCAGAACAATGTGAAATTAAATTTCACATTGATTCAAACATACAGTCAAAATTTATTATATAAATGTCTACTATGATAGATCTTATTAATAGGACTTATTGTACTGGTATTTGGTTTCTGCAATTGAGAAAAACTTATTCAAAGAAAACAATCTAGGTGAACATTAAAGATTGTTTTCTCTGAATAAGTTTTTCTCAAGTGCAGAAACTGAACACCAGTACAATTTCCTTATTTGTTTACAAATAAAATTGTTATAATCATAAAAACTTGCCTATTACGTATCGTTTTGCATAACATTTTGTTCAAGAAAACTCTAAATTAAGCTTTTAAATTTTTTTTATTCAATACTATACTTTTGTAAATATATTCTTGATGTTAATGTTTAATATATTTAATAGAGCACCAACTATAGTGCTATGTTTTTTAAATGCATTTGACAAATTTATCTGAAACTTAATCTGAAAGCAGATTTAATTTTAAAATATTTAAAGTTAAGATGTTAACATTAAATTTTATTTTTATTTAAACAAAAATTTACTAAAAAAATCATTTATATTAAATAAAAACTGAAAGAAAACTTCTACTTACATAAATCCATTTTCTCTTTCACATTTATCAAGTGTAAGTTTTACAATTGATCCCAATTTACGAAAGAATAAATGCTGTTCTGGTTTTGCACCTATTCCTGGTCCTTTAGTTTGTGAATATTCTTTACTTAATATTTTCACTTCAGATTGATCTTTAAATATAAATTTAATATTTTGTATTTATATAAAAATATATTTAAATTAATATAAAATGTAAATAGTATATATCTAGAATTATAAAATAAAAAAAAATTATATAAATTAAGAAATTCAGATTTTTCTAGATATGTGAAACTCAAAAATATTTGAAACTTTTTCTTTCTCTTTTTCACTTATTTATTTAACATATCAACAACAAAACTAATTCCTAGTTATTATCTCATTTGTAGTTAACATATCACTATCAAATCATGGATTGTAACCATCTGCTAAATTTCTTAAGTATCAAAATATAGTTCAACTAAACGATCACCTTAATTAATTGGGCTATAAATTTACTATTATTAATAATTAGACATTATCTAATCATTCATAATAGCAAATTCATAGGCTGATTAATAAAGGCGATCATTTGGTTGAGTATCAATGTACCAGGCTTCAGGAAGTTTATTATAAAATATAGTTCTTGGAATTTTACAATAACATGTAACTAAATTTAGAATTTGAAAAAAAAAATTCTGTTTTAACCTGTTAATCTTCAGTCATCTGTTTATAATAAACAAAATCTGTGATTATAAAAAGTTTAGTTTACAAAAGTCCATCCTATATTGTATAAGTAACATCCTATAACAGACTAAATTGTACAAGTGAGTGCAAGAATCTAAAGTACAGTATGTCAATTGTAAAGGTCCATGGCACACATACTGTAAACAACTTAAAAACAAAGTTAACCAACTTTTAACAAAAATAATTAAACTGTAATTATTATTTACAATAAGTAAATAAGAACTAAAGTAATAAATGTTTTTATGTTTTTATTAATAAATGTTTAATGTCTCACAATTGCATTTATTTAAGAGATAGAAGATTGGAATGTCACTAATAAAACCACAAAAACTATCAATGTCTTGCTTGCAAAATCATCTTTAACAAAAATCATTACATCCAAGCTATTTTACATGGGCTTGTAACTCAGTAAAATTTTCTACTGAGTTACAAGCAACATATTTCCTATCATTTAATATTCACAAATTTCATTTATGAATAAAAAACTGATTAATTACTGTAAAATAAAACAGACACTAAGAAAATCAAACAGTTATTACAACATACTTAAGTGGAATAATAGAAAAAATGAATTAACTTACATTTTTCACTTTCGTTTAAAGCTCTAATAGCTTCACCACATTTTTCTTGTTGTAATAGATTTTCTCCTGCATAACAATATGCCTAAACAAGAAAAAAAATTTAGTTTAGTTGGGCTAATTTATATATATATATATATATATATATATATTTATAAATAATTATATATACATACAGGTTCTTCCCTACTTATGAACAGATTGGGTTCCTGAGGTTTCATAAGTCAAAAACGAATTTAGAAAGTACATTTGTATATAGAATAATCACTTATTGTTAGTATTTGATCCTTCAATGCACTTAACAGAATACATTATGCTTTTTATCTGCTCACTACCACTTAGTATCAAGTGTTTCAAATGCATTTTTTCCATCATCTAATGCCCTTAGTTTTATAAAGTCTAGTTCATGTTCCATGATAATAGAGCAACACTTCTTCAATTTATCACCATTGCTAGATTTATTATTAAATTTAGGATGTATTTTTGAAGCACTAATAATAAAAGTTTATAAAAATTGCAAATAATAGTGAAAAATGCAAATACTCTAATATTAACAATTTCAACACCACCTCAGAAATCACACAAAAATGAAAAATGATGATACACAATAGAAATAAACCCACCTTAATTACTTATTAAAAATTTATTTATTACTGGCCAAATACTGACTTCAATGCCACCCAATGAGCAATAAGAGAACTTCAGAACAATGTGAAATTAAATTTCACATTGATTCAAACATACAGTCAAAATTTATTATATAAATGTCTACTATGATAGATCTTATTAATAGGACTTATTGTACTGGTATTTGGTTTCTGCAATTGAGAAAAACTTATTCAAAGAAAACAATCTAGGTGAACATTAAAGATTGTTTTCTCTGAATAAGTTTTTCTCAAGTGCAGAAACTGAACACCAGTACAATAAGTCTTATTAATAAGATCTATCCTAGTAGACATTTATATAACAAACTGTATAAAATAAGGACATAAAGGCATACAAATTAATACAGTCAAATTGTTTGTAAGTTGAACATTCATAAAAGGGATGCACCTGTATAAGTTGAGCCTCCAATATAATGGCATCTCTAAACAGTGGCTACTTTTTCAGGAATGTTTCTTTTTGAACAAAGATGTGTACAAAATAACTTCCAAACAATGATCCTAACCATTAAAAATCCTACCCTTAACAATAATCACTACACACAAAATTATGTGCTGTAAAAAATTAGTCATTATCAATAAGATGGCTAGTTTCATTACTTGCTTTTCACATGGTTAATAAACTTGGCTGTAAACATAGAAAATAAATTTTTCTTAAAAAATATCAAAGACTATATTTAACATTGCAGACACTCATGAAAATATTTTTTATATCAAAGTTGTTTTGAAATGTGTAGAGAACTAAAAATACAAATGTAAAATCAACCTTTTATTGTTTATGTTAAAATACAAGATGTGGCTAGAAAATAACGAGACTGAAGCTGGAACTTTAAATCTTGAGTAGTATACTTCCCTTCAATGTATGATCCTTCTGCTTCCACACACTGCTGCATTTGCAACTTCCACTGATCATAATAGCATTGCAGGTTATCATCTGTATGGCTACACAGAAGCTCCATTGTTTTTTCTTGACAGCAGAAACGGAATGAAAACAATGTCCCTTCAAAGCAGACTTGATTTTAGGGAAAAGGTAAAAGTCACATGGAGCTAGGTCAGGCAAGTAAGGTGAGTATTCAAATAGTGTGACTCCCTTCTTCGCCAAAAACTGCTTCACTGATAGAGCAAAATGGGCTGGTGTGTTGTCCTGATGGAGGATGAAACCATTTTGCCACAAGTGCTGCCGCTTTCTTCTGACCATTTCCCACAAGATTCTAGAACTTCTTTGTAGTAGTATTGTTTGCAATTTGTTCTACTTTTCATATGTTCTCCTTAGTTTTTAATATGCTAAACTGTCCAGAATGTTCATCATCTTTCACATCCTCTTGACCATCAGAAAATCTTCTGTGCCATTCAAACGCACATGCACGACAAACACATGCGTCTCTGTATGCTTCATGTAGCAGATGGAAAGATTCAATGGCAGTTTTTTCAATTTCACCAAAAATTTCAGGTTGATACACTGCTCCTCTTTCAAGCTAGCCATTTTTCCAATGCACACTAACAGCATGTCCACTTGCAGCAGGCACAGCAATCTAATAGCATTACCAAGTTGAGACTCGCTGTGCTTGTTCTAACATGTTCAAGGTCATTTACCCACCCGCCCACCCACTTTGGCCCACATGTGACTGTTGCATGCAGACAATTACAGTCTCATTATTTCCTAGCCACACGACATATGTAAAGAAAGTCTGTCTATGGTAATAATTAAAAAATTTGCATAAATTTGGCACAAATCCCAGAATCATTCCAGCTTCTTCCTTTCAACCTATAACAATGCAACTATCTCTACACTAATTTATTGAGCTTATCAATATCCCAATTCTCAATATCTTTTAGTGACTGAATTACAATGTATTAATTTTGCTGTTCTAGATATTGGTTATCTAGTGCTAAATTTAAACATTTCAATCATACCCTGTTTCCCTTTTAAAGGTTATGAAAAATAGAGATGCCATAGGTTACCCATCCCTTATTTGGGTCATCTTTCCCTAGCTGTTGATATACCTAATAAATAGACAAAGCATAAATGCTCACTTGCTAAGTATCTTGATGCAGAATGTAGTTCTCAGGGAAGGAGCTTGGAGACATCTCTCACTGTCTGAAACTCAAAGCGCACAATGCCTCTAAAATGACTCACTGAAAAACAAGCACTAAAAGCTATGTTTGCTTTTGCTGTTTTTTTGTAAAAGTGAAAGTCCTCTTTGGATTTCTTTTGGTTATCATAAACAGAAACTAATATGTCTTTCATAAAAGTGAAACGATAAAGCAAACTTTCATGAATCAGAAGATACCTGTATAAGGATGACCTAACCACTATGCTAGCTCAACTGAATTAATCAATGCATCTTTAACAGTGGGTAAAGTTTAAATAATGCTGACCTTCTTGACCTGGTTAATGGGCCATCTGTAGGAATGAACAGGTATGAATGGGCAGTTAATTGAAGAATCCACTTTCAACTGTCCCTTAAATATGAGTTTTAAAGGAAATGGTTCAAATTAACCATCTTTGACTATATTTATAATTGCTGATAACAAACTTTATCTAATAATATAAGCCATTGATCACGTGTCAATATATCTGTAATGGTATGCCTAAAATGCCCACTAGGGGCACCCTAGCAATGATTTTAAATTAACAATAAATGATTATTATTTGTAATAGGAATTTATTATTGATATGAATTTATTATTTATACTATGGAATGACACCGCTGCTGATAGAACGCCTTTTCCGTGGGGGGAGAAGGTTAAGGATTACCCCCCGTGGGAAGGGGAAAACATTCCCCATTGATATGAATTTATTATTTAGAATGCCCAGCAGGGGGCAGCCCGACTACTAGTCTAAAATAAATGATTATTTATAATTTATTTTAAGTAGTTTACAGTATTTTCATATAAAATACTCACATAAGATAAATAAAATGATGATTTCAGTTGAAGATATTTCCACCATTTTCCAAAGTNCTAAACTATGAGCATAAGAAAAAAATTATTATTATGAGAAGACAGTTCAGATGAAATGTTTTAACTTCAAACTTAACAGTTAATAAATATTGAATAAAATACTGAATAAAATATCAAGGAAACAAATAAGAAAATTAAGAGATCAAACAATGAATTAATTCCTTTAATTTTCAAATGATTATGAAAGTTTGACAAAGGAAAGAACATTTATTACAATATAATTCTGAAAATCATAATATTTCAGAAGTAACAATCCACAAAAAACCTTTATATATCAGTGTTGTGTTTGTTACAATATCCACTAACATTTTTGTCCTCCACTGAGGTCTTCTTCAGGTGCTGACTAAGCGGTGTCTCCCCTTGACTGTTAGAACAATGTCGCCCGAGTTGTAAATATTGCACGTATTATGTTTCACCCCTCCGCTTGTCCCCATCCAAATTTCTTGAATAGGTATCTCCACACCTGCGCGATCGTCTCTCTGTCTTGTTGATACAGATACAGATGCCCTTGATACAGAAGTTGATACAGATGCCTCCAACATTGGCTTTATAGATCTCCCAGGCCTCCAGGTGATGGATGTGATCAATTTGAAATGCCTGTCTGATTAATTTGGTGTTCGGGAAGTCTGCCCAAATTTCAGGGACGGTAACGTGCGCCGTCAAGGCGTGCCTGTTATTTTTAATATCCAATTGATGCTTGCATAACCATTTTTGTGTTGAGCGCATGGTAGAACCAATATAAACTAAGTCTCTTTGGAATCTATTGTCCCTGATGGGAATGGAGTATACCCCTGGAGCTCTGTTGAGATCTATTGAGTCTTTAGCATTGCGCAAAGGTCATAAATAGAGCCAGTTCTCCTGTATGTGATCTTCATGTGATTATGGCTAGCAATCTGCCTGTATAGAGGGTCCAAATGTTGGTTGAACCGGATGACCGGATCATTCTTAACGGGCTGCTGACCGCCGTCCGGTGTAGACGGGGCCAGCACTGCTTCATGGAGGAAGATGGTTGGTGCAGGCATGGGCTAAACCACAAATCATGCCTTTACTGTAGCCATGCGCAACTGCAACTTTTTCTATGCAGAATTTTTTTTCTATTTTTATTATTTCAGAAGTCATTATAACAAATGATTATACTAAAATATAGTGGTGGCTGATCATCAGGGCTGGAGAGACCAGGTCCCACCAATAATTTTATTAAAAAGACTAAATCACTCTGACAAAAAGCATCTCAATAAATTATTTAGTGTTTTATAATTAATTTTTGTTATAAAAATGAAAATCACTTTCCACAAAACTATGTATTTATTATTGTATTCTACTGTACATAGGATTAGCTTCTACATAAACAGCAAAAGATGTTAGACATGAACATGCACAATGTCATGCTAACTGCTGTAAAGTGGTGGAATATGTAATTTTATGAAATATTGGGACTGGTTTTTTGGGCCCCATTCCCAGATCAATCTTGACTACTTAACTACATGTAATTACATATTTTACTATCTTTTTTGGTTTATAATTTTTATGATTTAGTAATATGTAATTATGTTTACTTTTCTCATTTTATTTTATGATTTATAAACATATATTAAATCATTTTTGTCCTGGTTTTTACTCAATTTATTGCAGGTTTTATTTATTGCATTTGTGTAAGTTTTATTAGTAAATGCCTCTTAAAAATTTTTGTCAATTTTCATTATTGTTCACTTTACTAAATTATTGATGCTACTGCTTACTTTAATTATATATTTCAAATCTGTCATCATGGTCTTCTTCTTTGATAATTAATACCATTAACCTGCTTAAATAAATAAATCATATAAAAACAGGTAGATTGTTATTTTATTATTCAAGTTAAAATCCAGATTTTCTCTTATTAACCTGAATCAGTTTCTTTAATCTGGCTCCATGAGCCAACGTTAAAAAAATAGCTATTTCATATACTTCTTGAAAAATTTATCAGCTATATCTAATTATTAGGAAGATATTGCTTTATGCTTTTATACTTAAGTTTGTAATTTCCAGCTTCCTTATTTATGGAATTTTCATTTCCTTATTCCTTGACTTACTCTATACTAAAAATAACTCTTACTTTAAACCTCGTAACCGGAGTGAATGTATAATACTTCTGCAAACATTTTTGATGCCCCTTCTGGGCTCTTCTCAGGAGGAGGGCTCTTCCTCGTAACCTTCTGGGCTCTTCCTCAAGAAGAGCCCAGAAGGTTACAAGGTTTAAAGTAAGAGTTATTTTTAGTACATTCCGATGTGTGGAGAAGAATAATTACTCTATACTATATCATGATTATTGCTGATACCAGCAATAGTCATAAATTCTTACTGAAATTTTCTTTGGAATTTTGGAACCAAGTTTAAAAATCTTTTTCTTTCCACTTGTAATAGTAAATAAACCCCTTTTCATGACAATCATTTATGTAGATATAAGCTTCTTCAATAGTCATAATTCTCAGCTAAACAATTTTTACAAAGCAATTTATATTGTATTATAAAAGAACTTCTTATCTCAACTTGTCTCAATTGTTGAAACTAAAATCTCAAATACTATAGTAGAGATAACCAAGATTTATCACACTGCTACTGACAACACAAAATGACACTTCTATCATCAGAATGCAACTTTATCACTGGTATGCATTTTTGTATACAGGACCCTCATCAGGTATACATAAAAATATACAGATATCTGTTGTAGAACAAATTCTCAGAGAAATCAACATTAGATACAATTTACAATTTAAAACATACCTGTTTGAGATTTATTTCCACCCACACTGCACAGCACCATGAAGATTCATTATAAACAGACCTACAACATCTTAAAAGAAAATCTCTTTCTTTAAAGAGCAATGCATTAGAGAGAAGGCCTAAAGTGTGTGTGTGTGTGTGTGTGTGTGTGTGTGTATATATATATATATATGTGTGTATGTGTATGTGTATATATACATACTAAGCCTGATTTGAGCGATGGCTGGCTGAGTGCCATGAGTAGGAGTTTATAGNCAGACACTAAGAAAATCAAACAGTTATTACAACATACTTAAGTGGAATAATAGAAAAAATGAATTAACTTACATTTTTCACTTTCGTTTAAAGCTGTGTGTGTGTGTGTGTGTGTATATATATATATATATATATGTGTGTATGTGTATGTGTATATATACATACTAAGCCTGATTTGAGCGATGGCTGGCTGAGTGCCATGAGTAGGAGTTTATAGGACAAGGGTGTTGAAGGCATCTCCAATCAGCACTGTAAGTAACTGAAAATGGTTATATCATAATTAAATGTGTCTGGAAGAGGAGATTGGACTCGAGTAACATAACTGGCAATGCATCCACCCAATAAGTGGCAGTTGCGGGTTCGAGTCTCACTCTGGGCCAATTCTTTTCTTCTAGAATATTCTAAATTATTTAATTTGATAAGAGATGGTGCCTAATATTTCCTTCTGGTGACAAATTATTTAGAAATTAATTAAATATAATCATGGAAAAGTAGCCCAATGTAATCTGGTAGTTGTTTAGCTTAAGCCTATGCAAAAGGTGGCAAACAATATTTTTTTTAAGATTTAAATCTTTGTTTGTTTTCTTCTTTACAGTTGATACAGACGTATTTATGCACATTATTCTTTGAGTTGGTGAATTTTCTTTTAAGATCAGAGAACTTACTTTTCAAGTTGTGAAAGAAGTACATTTTCTTTGGATGTTCATTTTGTATTCTTCATCTGGTTGGTTATTAATAATAATAATGCTTGTATTTATAATATGCTACTTTCATGACGTTTTAATTACAGAATAAAAATATTCATCAGAAAAAGCAAAAACATACCCTCCAATCTAAAGTTTGCTTGAATGCACTATTTTGAAAGCAGACAATGATGAACAGCAGACAAATGTTTACATCTCATGTAATAACTTCTTGTCATATACAGTGGAACCTCGGTATACGACCTTAATCCGTTCCTGATGTTTGGACTTATACCAAATAGGATGTATACCAAACCAACCTTCCAACCTTTCCCATAAGAAGTAATGTAAAAATGATTAATCTGTTCTCATGTAAAAAAAAATGGCTGGCTTTAAACACCTCGCTTTCCTGGCTAGTTCCTGCTTGATTTTTCATGAGATCATCATGTATCTTTTTAGCTTTCTCGCAAATAATTGCTGCTGTCGCCAGCACACTGTTTTTCAGTTATCCAAAGCAAAAGCAATTTCTCACATGATCTAATGTCTTCAATCTCTGTTTAGAAATTGATTTAATCCCTTTCGCAACGTTAGCAGATTTAATAATGTCTTTATTTTTCACAATTGTCAATATTGTTGTTCTCGGAATACAGTATGCAACAGTTAAATCTTGACCATGCATGCCACCTTCATATTTCTCCATAATCTCTTTCTTCCATTCCATTGTGATTCTAGTCAATTTTTTAGTTTTCTGTTGCTTTTCATTTGCCTTTTTCAATTCATGATTAATAAAAATAATAAAATTTTACTTACAAATTAAAATCAGAAGATATTTAACAAAGTTATAAACCCTAGCACCACGAACGTCTAGTCTGGCCTCGAACACCGATAGTGCTACTTGTTCATAGATGGCACGTATAATTGAATTAAATCGTATACCGAGCAAAATTTGTTTCATTCAAACAGAATATATTCTGAATTGGACGTATTCTAAAGCAGATGTATACCGAGGTACCACTGTATATTCTTTTAAATTAACAAAGTTATAAACCGTAGCACCACGAACGTCTAGTCTGGCCTAGTACACCGATAGTGCTACTTGTTCATTGATGGCGCGTATAATTGAATTAAATCGTATACCGAGCAAAATTTGTTTCGTCCAAACAGGACGTATTCTAAAGCAGACGTATACCAAGGTACCACTGTACTTGTTTTAGGGGTCCTCGTTTGTATAGTCAAGTACTGAGTGATTTTTTTTTTTTTTCCTCCAGAATGTGTGTTCAAATACCAAATTGGTGGAGTTGGGAACAGTTAGAATACCATGGTATTTTGTTCATCATTTTTGCAACTGATACCTAAAAACGTTTTTGTATTTAATAGTTTAATTAATAAGATTGTCCATCTTTTTTTGTTTTTATAATTAGTTTTAAATGATAATGTCTGAAATCATCATCATCATCATCAATACTTGGTTGATTATACAATTTTTTCTTCCTTTCCCTTGCTTTCTTAACAATTTTCATTAACGTAAACCCAATGAAAGACAAATTGAAAATTTCAATATTCTAAAGTCTGTGGGCAAATTTCAGACATGTATGCTTACTTGAATAGATAATTCCACAATTTAAGTGCAAACTTCATTTTCTATGGAGTATTTCTTGAATTGTGTTAGACTGATACTATTGTATGGTAGGATATCCCAGATTTTCCAACAGTTAGGATAACACCGTGTTGTAGAAGTGGCATGTACAAGAGATTGCAAGTAACTTAAAGGAAGATACCTACCTGTATTTATTTAGTTTTTTCATATCAATAATAAAATTTGTAATTTATAAGTTTATTAATACAGTTTGAGAAACTGTGTCAATGATAAACGTATGAGGGATTTCCAATAAGTATGGGGAAATATCACCCTGGCAGCAATAAAGGTAACCATTGAAAATAAATGTATAATTTCTGAATAAAAATGTATAAAGAGATATAGGGAAAAAATTATAAGTGTTCTTTTAATTAAACAAATAAAATCATTTTCAAATTTATATAAACCACACTCGTACCCAGCAGAAATAAATAAATAAATAACTTAAACCAACACCTTAATATTCGCTGAGATATTTTTAATGTAACAAACGTTTTTGATCTATTTGATAGATCATCTTCAGGTTAAAAAGAATATTTCTTAAATGGAACAACAAGTTCAAAAATTCAAAAATATTAATAACCAATAAATTTCCATTAATAAGAATAACTAATACATTGTAAATGATACAAAAATGTAAAATAAATAACATATTACTCGTACCAAATATTAATACTGTCTATCCTATCTAGACATAATTCCCTTTAAAACATACTAGAGTTCATGCGCCTCTTGTANATGATTATTATTTGTAATAGGAATTTATTATTGATATGAATTTATTATTTATACTATGGAATGACACCGCTGCTGATAGAACGCCTTTTCCGTGGGGGGAGAAGGTTAAGGATTACCCCCCGTGGGAAGGGGAAAACATTCCCCATTGATATGAATTTATTATTTAGAATGCCCAGCAGGGGGCAGCCCGACTACTAGTCTAAAATAAATGATTATTTATAATTTATTTTAAGTAGTTTACAGTATTTTCATATAAAATACTCACATAAGATAAATAAAATGATGATTTCAGTTGAAGATATTTCCACCATTTTCCATAGTGTTTTGGATTTAAACCATTTAATGAATCAGCTGAAATTAAATATATATATATATATAACATAAATGTGTACATGCAAAATATTTCAAAAATGACTAATTAATGACTAAACAGAAAAATTATCAAATTTTGTTATTTTTTTCTTAATTATACTAAATATCTTTCAAAATTTGAATTTTCCAATTCAAAACTGAAAAATCTTTCTTTTTGTAATGGATATAACATGTTGTTTTTACACAACACAAATTCTGAAAAATTACTGTAATTTCATGTATCAATAGATAACCTGTAAGTTACCTGTTTGGTTATCAAAAATTAGATAAAGAAATGTTTTTGTCCTGTTTTAGGACAGCTTCAGATTCTTAACCTTGTCCTAAAACAGGATGAAAACATTCCTTTGTGATAAATTTAAACAATTGGCTACCTGAAATTAAGCATTTAATACAGATAATACTATGATCAGAAACACAAAGTAATATATATTCTGTAATTATTACAGAACATTTTTCATTTTAGCTATTGGGCTACATCAGTAAAGGATATTAGTTAGGTATGATGACAAGTGTACAATTTGATTTTCAATTTTCTTGGAGATAGAGCATTTTGTCTTTGGGTGGCACTACAGTGAGAGCTCACTGCACATTATGTGGATAGGCATTGTCTTGCTGGAACAAAGTGTTGGTGCAGCTTGCACCAGTGACTGGACCACAGACCCCACAATTCGTGTGAAGTACTGGTCTGCTGTCAGAAATGTGCACCAAAACTTCTGCTGATTGAACATGATGCCTCCCCAAACCACAATGCCCAGTGTGAGGCTGGTGTGATGCTCAGCAAAAATGGCTGGCACATAGCATTCCCCAGGATACTATCACACTCATCCACAACAGTCATTCCTCCAAAGACAGAAGCAGGATTTATCTGTAAACAATACTTCATGCCATTCAGTGGTCTGATTGTGATGATGACACCACACCAGGCATGCAACTGTAGATTTCCCCTGTTGAGCAAAGTCTGCAGGGTTGAACAAAAAAAGACACACGGACAAGTCAGCTCACAACAATTGGGGTTTTTAATTAAAGTTCGTTAATTCCAATCGGGATAATTACACAAACCAAGAATTAATAACACAATAACACATCCGAATCAATGCTACACACATTTACCTCGTTCCTCCCTTATCTTCCTTAACAATGGGGCTCACGACACGTGGCGAAGCAGGACGACAAGAACGGCGCATAACAAAGATAATTAACTGAGCGTTACTCACAACAAAAGAAAATCTTGACCGCGAACAAACATTTGAAGAACCACTACGTGCCAACGAGTCTTCCTTCGATCTTCTCTTACTTGGGCGAGCTAGAGTCCACAGCCACAGTTCCTATTCCGATGCCAATCCTTTTCTTCTTCTTTCTTCAGCGCTTCAATCGAGCCGGGAATACCAAAAACAAAAAGACTCTACTCCACGTGGGTCACACCTTATATACCCTACAAACCTGATATACCACACGTGACCCTCAACCAGCCAATCTGGTTGCCAATACACAGTTAACCGGGGAAGGGTGGCACCGCGAAACAAAATGAAAGGGGTGAGGGAAAAACCGAAACGAAAACAACAAAGAAAAAAAAGAAATAATCGCGAAGTGCTACACAACCATGTCTTGAGTAGTTAATGGCATCCCCACTGCTGGTTGCTGCATGTGCAGCCCGACTTCATGCAACTTGTTGTGAATGGTTTTGGGTGAACACAGATGCACCTGTTGACAGTGATAGGCAGCTTTGTATGTCACATGTCATAGTGAACAGGTTCCAATAGGCTGTTTGGCAAATCTGCCAGTCTGTGCACTCTGTCATGTACCAGTGCAATCCACTCCTTCTTTGGTGTGTTTGCAGACGTTCCTGCATCTATCATGTCACAAATTGCTGAATGGTGTTCACATTGTGCCCAATACGCATTGCAACTTTACTCATCAAAAAATTGATGTTGCACAGGATACGGTCTCATTCCCCAGCCATTAACTGGTGGTATTCAGTTTTCTGCAGTCTCCAAGGTATTTTATATGCTTCTTTGAAAGCATAGCCACTGTAAACCATCGCTGATAGCATTTAGGGCCTGAGCTGACTGCTGGTCATTAGAGCCCAAAACTGGGTACCATATTACCAATGTGTATGCAAATTTAATCATTTGAATATCTTTGTCGCCTCTACCGATCCTGCAATTTGCAGGTGGCTGTGCACATTCCTTCGTAGTGTTGCAATTTCACTTTTGATCAGTTTATTTATTATTAATAATTAGTTAAACTATAGTCTAGTGGATTTTAGTGTACCATCATCATTTGGCATTAATGTCAATGTTACTCAATTTTCAGTAAAGAGCACTTCCTATAAATAAAGCAGAATAACTTTTTGTTACATATATATGAAGCCCTCAGGGACATATAATGCTAACTCTCTGAATCATGTTTCTGAGATAATTGAATTTGAATGTTTGAAAAAAATCCTAACATGAAAAATCCCAAAACAATGAGATAATAGTCACATCTATAGTCAGTGTTTGAAGAGCAAAAATATTAGCACACAACTATTCATACAATTTTAGGACTTTGTTGAACATTCAAACTAGGGCTTCTCATTTCCTGGCTTTTGCTAGTCCCGGGATTCCAGGAAAAAGTGAACTATTTCCCAGGATATAATTAATTATTTTTAAGATATAAAATAAATCTTAAAATTGAATGATATAATTATTTTTCATTTTTAAGTAACTTAATACAACCTGCAACCTCCAAAATATTAATATTAATAATGCTGTGTAAAATATGTATAAAAAAATTACTTTTGAGTTATGTAGAAATTTTCACAAATAGAAAAAGTTTATTAAAGTTTGTTGGAAACTGCTTATAGCAAAAATGTCTTTAAATTGACAAAAAGAAAAAAATGAACTTAGATCAAACTTCTAAGTTAGAAGGCAATTTTGATTATTTAAATAAAACATAATACAAAATATTATTGTAAATTTTTATAATAAGATTTTAAAAAGCAAAGATGGTCAATACGCTGATCACTCAATTTGATTCTTATTTTACTAAAGAATGCTACCAAGAACGTCCTTTTCGATTCAATTGATGTGGGTGAAATTGTCTTTAATGCATTTAAGAGAAGACAGATTTTATATGCTTTTTCACCTGTAGCCTGGAAGATTTCTAGTTTGTTTTTGAGATGTATTACAGTAATTCTTTTGCCATCTACTATTCTTGATTTGTCTGCCTCAACTGCTTTAATAAATAAAAATGTATTTTGACAGTTTATGGGTTAATTATACTTTCTATTTGCAAAATTTCCTCAACTTTAACACAAAATAAGAAACAGTGAATTTTTAAGAAATTTGCAGGATTTCCTGGGATAAAAAACACCCAGGATCCCATTGGAGAAACCCTAATTCAAACTCAGTTACCTCAGAGACATGATTTTGATGGTTAGCACTATACATCCCTGAGGGCTTCATATATAAATATCACAAAGTCTGATGTATTAATGATTAACTATTAAGTAATTTGATACTAGAGGTAAACATTAGGCCTTCTCTTATTAAATTTAATAATTATAATATTTACAAATTAATTTAGAATATTCTGGAAGAAAAGAATTGGCCTGGAGTGGGACTCACAACCTGCAACTGTCAATACATAATATAAGCATAACTGCTAAGTGAGAGTTGTAGGTTTGAGTCCCATTCCAAGCCGATTCTTTTCTTCCAGAATATTCTAAATTAATTTGTAAATATTATAATTATTAAATTTAATAAGAGAAGGCCTAACATTTACCTCTAGTATCAAATTACTTAATAGTTAATAATTAATACAGCATTTAATTAGCCCAATTAGTTATGATGATCATTTGATTTTTTATTAATTAATATGATTATTATACAATATTCGGGCTTAGTTCTTTTTGTATGTTTGTAATGGTTTATTAACAGAAAATATGCAATATTTTAATGCTTGAGATGGCAACTTCTATACTGCTTACTGGTAATTATCTTGCTTTCAACACCCAATCTGAAGGTATGGGACATATGAAGTGCAATATATGAAAGTTTTATTTTCATTTTTGCAATTTTTTGTGGAGTATATGCCACCATGAATTAACTGCACAAAATTACAGTATATTTGCACAACCTTTGTTTTTGTTTTCAATTAGTATGAAATTTTTTCAGAAAATTATCTTTAGTAGTAGTGCTAAGTTCATCCAATAAAATGTAGTTTTAAAATAATAATTATTAAAAGATATAGATAAGAAAAAAATATTGGTATGTAATTTTGCATTTAAATTTTGAAATTAAAAAATTAATTTTGGGTAATTACAAATTTAGAAAATTTGTTCTAATCTTTTTTTATTTTTATATAGTATAAAGTTCATATATAAAGTAAACATGATTTAAGCAATAAAAAATGAATACCAGAAAATACCATTATAATTAAAAATTATGCAAGAACACTGTCACAATTTTATAGCTGACTCATTTTATCATGTACAATGAGTCAAAAAATGATCTATCCATACTAAATAAGTTCATATATCATTTGTATATACAATAAAGAATAAACTTATAATTACAATACAATAAAAATAAATATTGTCCAACTTACTTAATTTAGTTTATTAACTTTAGTTCTAAATAATAACTTTCTGTTTTTCAACAATAAAAAAATAAACATATACTACAATTAGAAAAAAAAAATTATTCGTCCACTTGTTACAATCTAAGAAAAGAAAATTCTGAAATAATAATGATAGTTTTTAATATTTTGTAGAGTCTCCTTTGAGTTTAATTATTATCTGATATTGATTTTTCATTGATAAAATTAAACATTTGTTTCTTCAGGTGAGATGCTGTTCCAACCCTCCAATAACAAATATTTCAGTTCATTTTTACTTTTTAGGAGCATGATTTTGAATATTTTCTGTAGTATATTGTAAAAATGTTCAACAGACCTTAGGCCTGAGGATTATGAAAACCAATGCACCTCTTTCATCTGCTTTTTTAAGTATATTTCCACAGATTCTGTATGCTTCAGATTGCTATCACGTTAAAAAATAAATTCACAATACAGCATCAAGTTTTTACTGATTTTGGCACTCCTTCAGCCAAATCACCTTTATAAAGGTGTTCATCAATTGTTTGATCAATAAAAATTATTCCAACTATTCTAGATGCTGCCATGGACTCCCAGACATTCCAATCACCATACTTTACAGTGAGCTTCAGACAATCCAGTTTATATTCTTCATTGGGTGATTGCCAAATGATATTGCATCCAAGCCAAATAAATTAAATTTACTATCATCTGATTATAAAAATATTGCTCCAAAACATTTGAAGTTTCTCTAAACATTTATTTGCCCAATCTATGTGCTTTTTCCAATTGATGGTAGAGATGAAAGGTTTGTGTCTTGCTGTTCTGCTGTGAAAATAACCTTTACGTAATTGATTTCACATAGTTTGCACCATAACAACACATAATTCATTTTCGACTTTTTCAACTATTCTAACAGCTGATTTTTTCTTTATACGTTTGCTTCTTTAATAATTACTCTGTCTTCGTGTTCTATTATTTTTATTTTTGGTTACATCCTAGTTGATTTATGACATTCTTATGCTTTCAAAATTTATCTATTATGTATTGAGCACTAGTACATGAAATTTTTAATTGTTTGAAAATTTTTCTTTGGTTTAAACCATCTTTCCAAAGATAAGTAACCTGACTTCTCAGATCATATGAAAAATTCTTTAGATTTTTGATGAATCTGTTCACTAAATCAGAATTTGAATATTAATTATTAATTGGCTGTAATCTTTAATAGAATAAATACAATAAACCAATATTAACTGAAACTTGTATCATCATTGCCTCTTTTTCAACTGACCTTTAACTAAATGGCTAATTAATTTGCATAAACATTCATAATGAATATTGTATTGTAATTTTTTTATTCATAAAAAAATTTATTTATTTCTGCAAATATTTTTACAAGATAATTTTTTTATACATAGATTATATACATAGAACAAGTTTAGTCAATAGTTATTAAAATAAATAAATAAATGTATTGTATTAAATAATGTTTTATTGAAATGGATGAATAATTTTTTTGACTCGTATACTGAAAAATTAATCTGTTATTAAAATGAAGAAACAGATAGTTATGGTTAAAATATGAGTAGAGTAGAAATCCAATTATCCAAACTGATAAATAATAGACATCTTAAAGCCCGATGAGTATATATAGACACAACCAAAGATCACCTGAATGATTGAGCTAATTAAATGATTAATTTAAAGCAATTTGTCACTAGAAGGAGGTGTAAGGCACTTAATGCCATAATCAATAAATGGCACCTAACACCTCCCTCTAGTGACAAATTGCTTTATATTAATCATTTAATTAGCTAAATTCTAGCCTGATCATTTAGGCAATCTGTAGTTGTGTCTATATATCTAAACTGATTTGATCTGCAGGTGATTCAGATAACTAAAAATTCAGCTAAGTGATTAACATCTAAAGAATGAAATTACTGGGTAACAGCACAATATTGTACACATACTGTATTTAATTACTTATCACTATGCAAGTAGCATCCTACACATAATTTGAATCTGTCATAACAAATAGGCTTCACTGATTATGCAGTCACAAAATGTAAGAAAACTGCAATGTGATGTCAGTGAGAAAGAGGGGGAAGGGCAAGTAGTGGTTTGGATAATTGGACATTTGGTTAATTGACATTCAATTAATTGCAGTCTATTGTACACGAAAAAATTTAATATCTTAGTATCAAGATATCCTGAATGTATAAATATTATACATGAAATCTGTATTAAATAAAACATTATTATTATATCTTTATATACCAAAGAGAACTGTTAAAAGTGAGAGAGAAAAAAAAAATCACATTAAATTTCCACTCCAATATTCAACCATATTGTTATTCATTAATCTGTACTAAATATTTAAAACATATATATTAAATTCCTAAAACACTCACAAACACCAAACCAGCAAAAGAGTGGAGTTTTTTGCTGGTTTTGATGATACAAATGTTTTTATCATTTATAATGGACATCATCAATATTTTACATAGTATTCAAAACTACTGAACAGAATTAAAAAAAAACATGAACATATTTAACTTGAAAAGCTTCTAGTAATTAAGTATAAACAAATGTAAACATTTGTATCAGTAAAAAGGATGGAGTTTTTTGCTAGTTTTGGTATTGTGAGCATTTTAACTATACTTAACCAGTTTTTTTAAGTAGTGATTGATTTAATTCTTATTTAGTATGTTTATATTTATTAAGAATAAATTAAAGAAAAGAAAAATAAATTAAAAAAACATGTTTATCTGCATTAACAACATAAAATTTTCAGAAAGAATTTTATTAAACCTAAGGTAAATTATTTTAAATCTTTAGTTTAATATACAGAATTTTTATAATTAAAATTTATGTATTCTGAGCAAAAACTGTTAAGCAGTTGTTGCTCTGAATACATTTAAGTTCTGTTAAGCAGTTTTGCCTGCAGCAAAAACTGCTTAACAGAACTTATGAAACAAAACTTCAGTAGGTCTTAATGAGGCCACGAGGAAGACATTCACAGCAAAAAAATTAGTTCCAAAAATTACCATCAGGAGTATTTTGTGGCAGATTTTTATTTGCATGATGAAGTTAGCATACATAACTATTAAGTTTAAGCTAGAGAAAACCCCCATGCTTCTGGAAATTCCTTTACATTCCCCAAAAGTAACAGTTTTGTGCAGTCTTTTTCCTCATTGTTCATTATCTGAACAGTCTGATTTGAGAAACTCAGGCACTCAGATGCAATTACATGTTCCATTAAGACCAGCAATATGCATCATTATTGACCAACACGACTCCATCACTCCAACAACATTGATATCTTGTTTTAACAGTGTTAATGCAGGACAATGCTCCTCCATACATAGCAAACTGCAATAAAAAGGTACTTAAAAATCATTTTTCTGACAATCATCATCAGCCGGAATTCTCAACTGTTTTAGTATGCACAATAATGAGATCTGAATCCATGGTAAACATTTCAAGAGAGATTTTGCCATCAACAGTCAAAGTTTCTATTCTGAGATTTCAGATTGCAGCAGATTATAGTACCCAACATACTGAACATGTTTTGAGGTGCCTAATAAAATGCCATTGTATTACATTATAATGGTAAAATATGTAAATTATTTCTGGAGGTGATTTTTGAAATTAATTTTTTTACCATGATTTTCCTTCTCACGGCTTCATTTTACCAAATTTACTAAAATTCATGTAATTCCTTTAAGCAATTTTTGCTGTATATCAGTTGGAATAGGTAAACTTTAATTATAGATACCATGAAGATTATTTATAGATAGATGAATAATTTTCATAAATTTTACAATAAATTAAATTAAAAATATGTAAATTCAAATGTAATTATATACAAAATTGAAATTGTATGTATTTTAATTAAACCTTCATTTTTCGTGTGACAGATTTACCTGCAGCTTTATACATTCTTGAAGTTTCATTTGCCAATGCAGATATTAGTCCTGGTGCATGCTTTAATTCAATTGCTCTTGCAATTGTTACTGAAAAGAAAAAAAAACCCATTAAATTCTAACTACAGTACACATTTATTAAACATAAGTACAATAATTGTAATTTACATCAAAGTAACAAAAAAATGCTAAAGTAAAAGTCATTTTAGAAAATGCTACCAATATATAAGTGTAACCAAATATATGTGATAACGTATCTGAAGAAACATTCAATTCTAACTTGAGTTAAATTAGGACGAAACAAAATTTAATTATATTTATAAAAGTCACACAAATTTATTATTGGATTAAATATTTTTTGGTGTTATTCCGATCTACTTTCAGATCTCATTACAAAATCAGAATGATTTAAATGTCTAAAGAATGCTAAATTCAAAAGTGACGTTTAATGTACTGAGAGGTCCAAGGTTTTATAGATTTATGTTCAGATTTTGTGCAAACTCAGTTTTTTGCATAATATAAGCACAGTACTGTGGCAGCTTTCCAATACATAAATAATTTACTTTATTTAAAATCAAAAATGAGAAATTTTTTAAAATTCTGTATTCTTTAAAACTTTACAACCATTCTAATGTTGTAATAACATCTAAAGATGAAATACAAAAACTAAGAAAAACTTTTAATCCAATAATAAATTTTAACTTCTAAAACATAAGAAAATTTTATTTCTTGTGATAATATAAGTACAGTAAAGCCACGCTAACTTGGACTTTGCGAAACTTAAGCAAATTTTTTCAAAACAGTAACTTAAAATTTTTCAATAACAGAAAAATTTTAATTATCTGTTTTCAGTAACCAGAAGTCTCTGAGTTACCATGTACTATATTACTGTAATTGGTAAGTTACTAAAGAATATTCATTGCTATATACTGCAGTCATGAAATTTTTTGAGCTCATTTCCAATAATAATAAATTCAGCCATCTCACAGCTCAATAAATCATTCATATAAAGCTAATTATAATAAATTACTATTCTGTACATCCATGTTCTTGGAAAAAACACCCTGCTAATGCAGACAACCTTACACCCCTATAGTCCGAGTTAGAGGGGATCTACTACACTATCATAATTAAAATTCATTTTATGATCAAAATATTTGAAAGCTTGTATAGAAAAAGTCTTCTTTAGAGATTAACATAAAATATGAAATAGCTTATATCAGTGCTCAAAACATTCCTAAAAGCACAAACATCTTCAAACCGTAACACTGTGTTGAGTAATAATGGTCCACAAAAAATCTTTATCAGTGTTGTGTTCGTTACAATGAACACAATGCTGATAAAGGTTTTTTGTGGACAGTTATTCTTAAAAGCATTAAAAATATTGATATTCTTAAAAGCATTAAAAATATTGATAGTTTGGTTTATTTCTATAAATTATTCTAATATTAAAATAGTTAATAGCTGTTTGGAGCAATATGAAATTTAAGGTAGTAATATATGAGATATTTACAGTAAATATTAAAAAAAATAGAAGTAACCAACTACATTAAATAAACTTAACTTAATTCAAATCAGCCTTATGATTTGCATTTAAGTATACAGTAAACTAAAACTGAAATGATAAATTAATCAAATCATAATATCAGATTCATCAAGATAAAATTTGGTTAATTAAATATATTGATACTAGAAATTCCCTGTCAATCATGACAGAATACTTTTCGTGAGTGCAGCCGTTGACAAAGCCATTCTTACTCAATGTTACTCAAGTCAGACTTCACAGCTATTAGGTTGTTCTTATTCTTTTAGATCTAGAATTTGTCTGACCAATTTCACACTTATACTTTCCTCTAGGCCTAGGCATTTTTTTTTTTTTGACAAAATAGTGTCTTTTTAATTTCACATTGATAAAACAAAGATGAATTGTATGTACTGTACATTAATTAGATGAGCAATAGCACTTTCTAAATAACAAGCTCATTAGATTGTAGTGAGTATGAAATGACAAGGTTCAGACTCACCGATGGTAAGGAAAACAAGGGTCGTACAAATAATTATCACTCGAATATGGTTTTGAGGAAGGAAATTTATATTTTATGTATACGAAAAAAATATATGATATTTAAAACACTAGTACACTAGTTACTAAGATTACAAAACTGCTTAGCCTAATGGTAATATTTACAGTATATACAATGATGAGTACATGCTGGAGGGGCCAACACATTCATTGAATCTTGTTCGATCCAAACAAAAAAAAATACAATAGGAACAGGCGTACTACACACGAGTATGAGTTATTCCTTTAGCCTTCCATCTCTAATCAACATTTCTTCCACTCTCAATTGAATACTATTGAGGATGCAAACAGATTCATCCAACAAAGAGCCCAGTGTCTCGTCACTACTCTTAACCCTTCCTTCGCTTATCTCCTCTCTCGGGGCTTCCTCACTTTAGTAGCTTCCCGCTGGCATGCTCTCCACTAGTCCCACGGTGAAATTAGAAGAAAAAAGATCCTTGTGCACATTATACACTCTTTTTTATCCCTTGCCATCCAGGGTTTTCTCCAGTCACGAGATGTCATCACAACCAACCCAAACCGAGTGGTTGCCAAATACAGAGGCACATGACAAACGGAACGTTTTACAAACAAAAATTATCGTGACAAGGGAGGTCCAATGCAGGGCCGACTCCGATACAAAAATAATAAAGGTAAAAATATATACATATATAACAATTTAGTGACGGAGCACTACAAGATCATTACTTCTGATTGGATAATAGAACATAACATGGTCACTATGGAAAGATGTTTTTAAAAAAAAACATCACCAAACGATCACCTAAATCATTGGTGTCAAATCAGAGGGGTCACAAGAACATATTTCAGAGATGCCAAATTCAAAAAAATTTATTTGGCAATAAAATATATAAGGCTTTCTTCAACAAGTATCAGGTACCAGTAAAATAGTGAAATCAAATTATATTATATTGAACAAATATAATTATAATATTATAATATGGTCATGAAACTAAAAAAATTGAGAAATTATATTTGATTTTACCAGTTTTTATGAACTATTGTTCACTTGGAATAAAACTTGCAACATTTCAAGTAGGCATTTCACTACTTTGGAGTTATGTATCTAACTCCTATTCTTTAGTAGTTTTTCTCATTTAGGGACTGACATTTAGAACTTTGTTAATGTTTCTATTTTCATAAATTTCATATTAAATTTATAAATTGTTTAAGAAAATATGTTTGTTTTGATATAATTTCTTCATAACATTTACAAAATAAAAAAAACAACTATTAAAATGTTTATCGATTAACATTAGTAATAGAAGGTGCACTACTATATATTTTAAACTTATAGATTAGTGTAATTATTAAGGTTTGCTAATAACTTTTTTATTTACTTTATTTATTAAATAAATAATGTAACCAAAAAGTACAAAATATTTAACAATATGATTATTAAAATACATTTTGAACAATTTAAGTAACTTAAATAACTATAATATATTGCATAAATCAAGTAATGTACTCTATATGCACAGAAATTTCATTGTATATATTTATATTTAACAGGGTAAATTTTATTGCACAAAGTGGAATACCCGAGAAAATTAACAGAGACCTTGTTGATGAAAAAACAAGAAAAGACCTGTTCTACAATGACCATAAAATCGATACAGATAATGATCCTCTGGAAGTAGATGATATTATGGGTCTACTCTATTTATTAGTTACAGGATATATTATCTCCTTTTTTGTATTTCTTACAGAAATTTTAGTAAACAAGATAAAGAAGATTAAACAAAGAAAATGCAGAGTGAGGCCGCTCAATATTGTTAATTAATATCGTATCTTATTTGAAAATTTTCGTAATAATGCTGTATTTGTTAAAGTAGTTTTCAGTTTTTATTAACTTTTTTATTTTATTATATTTTGAAAAACAATAACTCATAAAATGTGATAAAACAGAGCTTAAGAAATTTACAGTTAAGTCTTTGATTTGTTTGCATGTGAATTCGTAATCTAAAGCCTAAAAAGCTACAACTGAGTGCTAGACGATAAACTTTCCATAAAACCTATAGAAAAATACAGATATACGAAAGAACGTTGTTCTAAAGTAAACATTCAATCACAATTTAATCAACTTATGTTATATAACTGTTGTAATGCAGAAAGTGTTGAGATTTTGTTTTCTGAATGCTCCCATTACTGTGTACATTCAACTCGAATTGATTTCTTCACAAAAGATATAACTCACATTGAATTGTATTTACTACTACAATTTGTATAATTAAATGATGGTCAGCATACCCATGCTGACAATCATTTAATTATACAAATTGTGAAATATACAAATTATACAAATATGTTAAATTTGCATTCGCAATTCGAGCATGTATTATAAAAAAAGTTGTATAAACCTTCTATTGTTGATGTAAAACCAGTAGTTTAAATCAGGGAATTGCAAGGCCACATCATGAATTCATTGTAATTGTACTTCTTGCATGCAAGTATCCAGAGACAACTTTAGAAAGAAACTCAGTAAAACGTTATTTCGGCTGACAACTGATGCACCATGATATATCTATTAAGTCAGGCTACAAATTAATTATAATAGGAAAATGTTCATAGACACTTTACATATTCATCATATAATGTTATGTAGATCAGGGGTGTCCAACCCTTTTGTTTCTTTGGTCCACATTGGAAGAAGTCATGGAGTTTCGGGCCACAAGTATAATATATATACTTGTGGCCCAAGTATATTTTGGCCCAATCCTTAAATATATTACTATAATCTAGACATGTTAATTCTTAAATATATTTAAGAATTAACATGTCTAGATTATAGCAATAAGCATTAAAACTTTATTACGAATAAGGATATTTTAAAAAATTACTTCTACAGACACTTTCAATTTTTATTTAGAAATAAATAAATTCATTTATTATAAAGGAGATAAACAAAAATTTATTTGAAAAACACAAATATTTGTTTTATTTGGGTTTCTAATTAATAAAAAGTGACGAAACACCACTTTAAAGTGCATTTTTATTCAACTAATAT